GTTGCGCAGGACTGGAGTCGTACTTTGACAATAATGTTTACAGCACCAGCATACAAGAATTATCGTATAAAACAGTTGATGTGTTATTTCTCGAGTCCTCTTGTATCTGATGACTATTTTTTGACATGCAATTGCATCGTCGAAGGAAGCCAAGGAAAATTTAAGTGAATGCTTTTCCTATGAGTCTCCCATGAAATAAAAGCTTTTCAAATGACAGTTCCTATGAAATGTCGACTTTTTGAAACGCCATCTCTCATTTCGCTTTTTACCAACACGCTTTAATTTTTCATAAATGATTAGTTAAGTTCAAACGTATTAAGGTTTTGTCTGCTTTGACCGTGTTGCTTTTGTAAACTTTTGATAATTATCGATTGCAACATAAGAACTTTAAGCAGCAAAGACAATTAAAACTGTGTTTGTATTGTTAAAACATATGTCTTCTATTCGGAGTATGCTTTATATTATTTTACTTAAAACTGTCGGCTGGTAATGGCTTTTCGATGAAATCTAACTATAGTATCCAAAAACACAAAATGGGGTTTGATAAACAATTAAGAATTGTCATTAGTGTATGCGTAAAAAACGATCGTTCTGCTTTTACGGTTCCGTATCTAGATATACAAGCCAAGAAAACTGGTGTTACAGGAAGTAGCTATGTCTCCCCAATAAAGTTGTTTGGCCGAGCCAAACTTCAAAGGAAATTTCTTCCTAAGAAATATGTCCCCCATACGCATAAATATGTCCTACCTCATTTGAAAGAAGTAATGAAAAACTTTTAACGTAAAAATCACGTGTTTCTTATTTTAAATAACAAAGTTAATATTTGCTTAGCTCCTTTTATTGCGTTTTGCCGTTGACGCGGAACACATTTGTCAAACTGTATACTGAAGCAGTTTTTGAAATACGAGAAAGCGGCGCGATATCTTGCTAAATGTTCTGCAAGGAAATGATCTGATAAAATGTTTGAGATATTCAATCCTTTTTGCGTTTAAGTTTTCGGTTTGTTTTTCTGAATCATTAGTTTTACCTGTTCTTTATTAGATGCGTGAATATTTACATGTTCGGCAACGCATTATTTTATTAAATTTTTTGATCTAAATAAATTGTATCTTAGACCACCTGGGGTGTTGCAGGAGATGACTGATGTTCCCGCCAGAGAGTAATTGCCGTTGACGCGGAACACATTAGTCATACTTTATACTGAAGCAGTTTTTGAAATACGAGAAAACGCTGCGATATCTTTCTAAATGTTCTGCAATGAATTGCTTTGATGAAATGTTTGCAGCAATCGTTTGCATTTTAAGTATTTCTTCAGAAATTCACATTATCATATCAATAAGTCGTTATTCTATTCCTATGTCACAGTATTATACAATATATAAGTGACTGAATAGTTTTTAGTGTTATAGATTTGATGTATACTAATGCTGAGCCAAAGATTTTAGCTCGGGAAGATTTGAAACATGCTAAATACCGAGTTTAAACGTTATCATTTTCAGCGAGGTCTTCAGTATTTTGCTGATTGCCATGCATAATTTTCCCAGCGTTATCGAGAAAGCCATAAAAACTAAATATTATTGAATAAGTTCTTTTGAAAACGTCAAAATGAATGTAGTTTAAAGTACTACTTCAGAAAAAGTTTGGTATACCAGAGGCAGACACTATGCCGTAAAGTGAAGCCGTATCTTGATTTATTTGGTTGTTCTAGCTTTTATGAAGTGGACTGCCTTGTGTTTAAATCACTTTCCGTTATTTTGTATTACTTGTAAATTTTCTTCTCTCTCGTTAAAGTTGTTTGTCCGAGACAAATTTCAAAGGAAATTTGTTCCTAAGAAATATGTCCCCCATGCTCATAAGTATGTCCACCCTTATTTGAAATAAGTAATGAAAAGCTTTTAAAGTAAAAATCACGTGTTTCTTATTTTAAATAACAAAGTCAGTATTTGCTTAGTTCCTTTTATTGCGTTTTGCCGTTGACGCGGAGCACATTTGTCATACTGTATACTGAAGCAGTTTTTGAAATACGAGAAAGCCCCGCGATATCTTGCTAAATTTTCTGCAAGGAAATGATCTGATGAAATGTTTGAGATATTCAATACTTTTTGCTTTTAAGTTTTCGGTTTATTTTTCTGACTCATTATTTTTACCTGTTGTTTATTAGATGCGTGAATATTTACATGTTCAGCAACGCATTCTTTGATTAAATTTTTAGATCTAAATAAATTGTATCTTGGACCACCTGGGGCCTTGGTTTCGAAAAAAATTTCAATAATTTTTCTGAGATAGAACTAGCTAAGAGATTTAGTGAGGCTTGAAATAATTTCAAGGATTGAAAGGGGCCAAAACTTCAAGGTTAAAAGTTACAACTGTTTTTTAAGCGCCACCAGTCATTGCTGTTGTAATTTTAAAATTAGGCTAAATTAATAATTATTAGTTGTTGTAATTTTAAATGTTTTGAGTAGTTAATAAAACAGAATATTGTAAAATTGCTCTAGAAGATCCATCTGACGATAAGTATTGAATCGTGTCCATTCGCCAAAATATTTAACGCCTGACTGAATCTTGGCTACCCGGGCTTATGTAATCAACATCTTAAAGGAGACAAATTGGATCCTCAAAAGGCCATATTTTCCTTTGGGAATATGACCCTCAGGAGTTAGAGACTTTGTATAAAATATTGCCAGTCTGAGACAAATTTTCTGGGACACCAAGCTGTGGTTAAACGTTTTCAAGGATAATTGAAATTTAAGTAAATAGGAGATGACTGATGTTCTCACCAGAGAGGAATTGCCTGGGAGTATTTGTCTAACTAAAATGTAGTGATGTTTTAAAATGACAACTTTGGTTTGTGCATGTAAGTTTTGACAGAATTGATTTCATATATTTTTATTGACCTGAGATAAGTTTACTTAATTTTATGCTTGAAGTTTAATACATAAATTTATTGTTCGTATCATGATGTCTTTGCCATTTCTGCTCATTTTAACAGAGCTCTATCTTCTTAGTTGCTAGCACAATGTTATTTTGCCTTTTTGTTCATTTCATTTTGTTTCTTATTTTAAATAACAAAGTCAATATTTGCTTAGTTCCTTTTATTGCGTTTGGCCAATAACGGCAAACACATTGGTCAAACTGTATAGTGAAGCCGTTTTTGAAATACGAGAAAACGCTGCGATATCTTGCTAAATGTCCTGTAAGGAAATGATCAGATGAAATGTTTGAGATATTCAATCCTTTTTGCTTTTAAGTTTTCGGTTTGTTTTTCTGAATCGTTAGTTTTACTTGTTCTTTATTAGATGCGTGAATATTTACATGTTCGGCAACACATTATTTTATTAAATTTTTAGATCTAAATAAATTGCATTTTAGACCACCTGGGGCCTCGGTTTCGAAAAAAAATTTCAATAATTTTTCTGAGATAGAAGTAGCTAGCAGATTTAGTGAGGCTTGAAATAACTTCAAGGATTGAAAGGGGCCAAAACTTCAAGGTTAAAAGTTACAACTGTTTTTAAGCGTCACCAGTCATTGCTGTTGTAATTTTAAAATTAGGTTAAATTAATAGTAATTAGTTGTTGTAATTTTAAATGTTTTGCGTAGTTATTAAAACAGAATATTGTAAAATTGCTCTACAAGATCTATCTGATGATAAGTATTGAATCGTGTCTATTCGTCAAAATATTTAACGCTTGTCTGAATCTCGGCTACCCGGGCTTATGTAATCAGCTTCTTAAAGGGGGACCAATTCGATCCTCGAAAGGCCATATTTTCCTTTGGGAATATGGTCATCAGGAGTTAGAGAGAATTTATATAAAATATTGCCAGGCTGAGACAAATTTTCTGGGACACCAAGCTGTGGTGTATTTAGATACATATCGAAAAAACAGCCGTAAATTCAAGTAGTTGTGCTAAATACATCCCGCGGAATGACAAGGAAAACTGACCCATTATATAAAAACAAAGATAACGCTGTCATTGAAGGCTTCTTCAATCGTTTTCTGTCTTCATAATGCATTTTTAAAATTTAGTTCTTTAACATTCTTTGCATTTGTGAAAAATATTCGGTTTCCGTGCTTGGCATTTAACACCTCGTCTACAAATCTTCTTTCTGTTTGTTGTGAATTTTAAGTCGGTGCTCTACCTACTACTGCTGCTCTTTAGCCTTATATTGAAATAGAGAAAAATTTTTCCTTGTCTTTCAATTTGCTTATATTTCACTTTTAAAGTTCTATAATTCATGGGCATCAAAAAATAGCTGAGGATGTTTTCAATATCAATGTTTGCTATCGAGTACCACAATTCTCCCGCTTCTGATGAGAGCGGCAAAGTTTATACATAGGAAGAAAATACATGTTACTAGATGTTTTTATTGTCTTATATAGTGTATAAAATCCATGTAAGTCACATATTTCTCTTTGATTGCTTGTTCACCTGTGAGCTCTTCCGCTGTCTCTGCTAAACCACTGTCAGTACGATGACTTTTCTCACAGCAGTTTTTCTAATTTCCAAATCGTCCATAAGAAATCCCCTGTTTACTTCGCACTGCGCAGAATGGTCTTGATGGCATGCTTTTTGCTTGATGAATAGATGTTAAAGCATTTCGTGCAAACGATTATATTTGTTACTTACGTAAGAGAGTATGTGTAAAAGCTTTCAACGAGTGAGAGGGAAGAGGGATGGTGCATGATGAGAAATGCCAAAGAAATATATCAAAATAGATCAATTTACAATGCTTGTACAGCAAACTTATAAAGTTCATAATGAAAAATCTTGAACAATTAAATGCAACAGAATTTTGGCAATATTGGTTTTAAAACAATCATAAATGTTAAAGCCATTATTGAAAAGCTTATGTTTTCGTTTTCGCACGTTTCATTATTTTTATGACGTATGGGCGAGAAACCATCGCAGCAAGTATTTCATTGGTTCATGCACTTGACGTTACCATAACACGTGATCTCTGCTAAGCAAAAAAGCAAGGGCGAACCTGTTTATTCACTTTTAATCCTATTGGTTGCAGAGTGAGGACTTTTCAAAGCTTTTGTTTTGCGAAGAATTTTAAGCCCTAGCAATTTTTAAATAAAAACGATAACATATCCAGACAAGGTTGGTAAAAATGTTTTTTTTGTTCTTTACATAATGGTGTGCGTCGTAATAAACAATGAACAGATGAAATGATGTAGCACTAATGTAATGTTTTGTAGTCATACTCAATATTTCAAAGAAGTAGCTAAAACAAACACAGGGAAAAAAACTAGAAAATGTAAGTTTTAAGCCATATAATTGTGACAAGAAGTTGTGTTTGATTGAACAAAACCTAAATAATTTCACTGCTTTTGTCAGTGCAATTTCTCGTTTCTTACCCTAACACGATCTTGACGAGATTATTTTACCATGGTTTATTTTACTCGCAAATTTTACATTTAGACATAACGTAGTAATTATAGTTAAAACTTGATCTTCTGAATACATAAACTTAGTTTTATGTCTATTGCAAACACCATATCCCTTTCAAAGTCATTTGTGCAAAATAATGTGTACATTAAATGATCTACAGTAAAAACTTTTTAAATATAGTGTATTAATTCTGTTCTTTTATGATCACAAATACTAGTGATTTACGTAAAAATTGCAGCAAACAGCAGTTGAAATGAAAGTAAATCGATTGTAATAATTTTAAGGACTAAAAATTCCCAGAAGAGAATAATTTGTTTTAATTTCTGAGGAACTCATAAACTCCATATTTTATTTATGTTGTCAAGACAACAAGCAACGTCAGTTAAGTGCGAGACGTCCACCAGTTGGGAGATATGAATTTTAAATAAGAAAACTTGTGTCGTAAATTGGTTTCCTCAGCGTGATAAGCGTTCTACAGAAATCTTATAAAATTATTGTATTATTGGCTTTGAAATAATCATAAATGTTAATGTGATTATCGTAAAGCCTAGTTTTATTTTCACTCTTCATTGTTTTTATGATGCATATGTGAGAAGCTATCCTATCGGTTTACAGACTTGGCGTTGTTTTTATGAACGAGCTTCAAAACAGTTACATACAGAATAAAGAATTAAAATCAACAAAGATCAAAGTTTTAGTTTTAGAAGTGTTCATGTGTTATTTTTTGAGTATGAACAGTTTCGTGATAGCCTTATTTTTTGAGGTTTGGGATTGTTTTAGAAAAAACAATTTTTTACATCAGTTAATGCGTACGTCTTCAAGATTTCACAAAAGAAGCACAATTTGCGTGTTATGTATGTCACGAAGTATTGGAAAATTTTGCCTCTATTCTCTAAAACATCTTGAGAATGACAAAATTTCAAATTCATGACAGTGAATGCTACAGCAGATTAAGAAAATTTCAGTTGATTTCTTTTACTTTATGGCAAGCGTGAATTCCGCGAAAATGGCGCGCTTTGATTGGTTCAGAAACATTTTTGCCGCTCCATTGTTTTCCGTAATGGACCACGATGCAAAACGCGTAATTTTACAGTCAAATGTACACAAACTTCGTAAGGCAAACAGCAAAACGCAAAAAAAAGTAGAAAGAAAATATTTACGAATGTTTGTCGAAGAAAAAACACTCGGAAAACAGTTTAACTTTCCCGACATTACAATTTAAAGCGATTTATTTTTTACCGACGAAAACTAGATAAGTGAAAGTCAACCCGTACAAAACAGCAAAGACAAGAAAGAAAGCAAGCTTCATTTCAAGTCAAATAATGCCATATAATAGACCTTTTATTAATTTCGCTTCCTCGGTCTTTACTGAGAATTATTGGACCTCTTTTTTTGTACAAACCTCGCCCTGCAAGCTCAGTCTGTACGAAAAAAAAATTCGATTCGGTTCATTATCTATCCGTAAAGAGCTCGACCACGGTTAATAAGGGTTTGGAATTATTCAGTAAATAATTTAATGTCTTGAATGAGTGGCTTCTTCAAGGAGAAAACTGGGAAGCAAACATTACAGCGGATATACGTCAATTGGCCTCCATTTTTTAGGGCATCAATTACCAGTCCACTCAACTGCTCTAGTTATTATAGAACTCAATGATTTGTATGCTGGCGTATGATGACGATCATAACACCGATTGCATCAGTCCTTATTATTTGATGATTTGCATTTATTTGTATTGGTAAGATAACAAATCTCTTCTCAAATCCTAAGATTTGAAATAGTCAGAGAAAGTGTAGATGATGGGCTCTGACGATTCAAAGACCAGTTTTTATTATCTACTCAAATTTGTCTTCGCTTTTGTGCTTCAAACCAGTCATCATTGAAAACGGAAAGGCATAATAACTTACACCATCTTTGAGTGTGGTTCTCGTTAGTACAATTAGCTGCAACAAAACTATAACCATCTTTTTTAACAAAATATTTCACAGACATTTGTCTATAGATGCTATATGATTTGTAGTGAGCAACTGCACAAATACCGTGCGTGACGTCACAAAAAATGCAGATCCCGCTAAAATGCCAAATTAGCCATTTTTAAACTGCCATGAAAAATAGAAGAGTTGCGTAAAATTAAAAATTGTTTTCGCAATTGCTTTAGAAATTGAGCAAAGATTTGATATTGCTAAAGAACAAAGATTCGTAAACAAAGCTGAAAACAGAAAAATAAATCTAATTAATATGCAGTGTCTGTAAGTCTTCTCTATCATAGTGACAGTTACTTGCAACTTTTCATTTGAAGGAATAATCAAACATTAATTTTAAACATGAAATGCAAACCTTTTATCAATTTCTAGATGCAACTGAATAACAATTCTTTCCTGATCACTAGCAAGGTGTTTGAAAATGAAAATTTGGCCATGTGGGGAACTGGCTGCAAACAAATAGGCACTAATATAGATATTCAGTTTTGGCAACTGAAAGAAGAGCCAAACTATCCTGGATATTTCTACATCTGTAACACAAAATATGATGGATATCGAATCGCCAATTTGGAAAAAGGAATTATTTGTGAAAATATACCAGATAATGAAAGTCAGTTGTTCAAATTTGAAGAAGTTGGTGGTAAGTATGCAAGGCAAATCAAAATATATGATGAAAACATTACAAAATGTTAAAAATGAAAGTCGTAAGTAAGTTCAGATCAGACATATCTATCATTTTAATATTTTCATGTTTCATGCTTGAAGTTTATATAATACCAACATAATAAAAGGACAACGTATTCTTTTTAGATAGTTATTACCAAATATGCAATTATAAAAAACAGGAAGCCAAACTAACAAAATTGGGAAAAGAAAATGATGAATTGGGTTTCTCTGATGGAACTAGTGATGACAATCAATCATGGAAACTGGTACCAAGGTTCAAAGCTTATGTTACAACTGTGACGATATGCAGCTACGACAACAGAAAAGAATCAGAATCTTTCTCAACAGAAATATCTGTAACAACTGGCCTCAAGTTTGAACCGTCCTCCTCTTTTTTAACTACTGTTGGTTTGAAAGAGTCGTTAATGGCATCCGTTTCGAGTGCTGAAGCAGATGAGACCTCCAAGCTGCAGATAAAGGCGGACATTCAAAGATTATTGTCGAACGGTCAGGAAGAAAATTGGTTTCATGAATCTCCGACTCGATTTAATATACCAGTGGGAATGAATTATCGTGTGAAACAGCTGACGCGTTATTTCTCAAGTCCTCTTAAATCTGATTATTGTAATTTGAGATGCGATTACATAATCGATGAAACTCCTGGAGAATTTCACTAAAAACGTAGCTTTGCTATAAAATTACTGCACTATTCATAAATTTACTCATTCGTGAAATAATTAAATCATAAATTGTGCACTAAACACTTTTCTCACAATAAAAATACTTAACATAGCTACAACTTGTCTTTGTATACTCATGCAAAAATATACACACAACATAAAAAAATGTATTTGTCGTAACTGTAAGAAAAACTAGTTGAAAATTGGATTTGGAAGAAACGTGTTGAAAAAACAGATTTGTTTCATAATCATGGCCAAGTAAAGGATAGATATTTCTATATGATTTTTTCATAATCTTTTTATATAATAAAGGAGGTTCTTCTAAAAGAATAATTGAATTATATTTTATGCAGAGGTTTTAGTGCATCAATTCTAACTATAATATGAAGCATACTCCGAAAGAAGACTCGTATTTAACTCGTTATTTGGGAAAGAAACAAGAAAATTTTTATTTGAAAAGTAATATTTCGAGTTTAAACTTTTACTTTTCAAATAAAGAATTTTTTGTTTTTTTTCTCAAATATTGAGTTAAAACATGTGTCTTCTGTTCAGAGTATTCTTCATATCATATTACTTAAAATTTTCGGCTGGTAAACGATTTTTAGCTAAATCTCACTGAAATATCCATAAACACAAAATGAGCTTTGATAAACAATGAAGAATTGTTATTAGTGTATGCGAAAAAACGATCGTTCTGCTTTAACGGTTCCGTATGTAGATATAAAACCCGAGAAAACTGGTGTCACTACAGGAAGTAGCTAGCTCTCCCTAATAAAGTTGTTTGTCCGAGCCAAATTTCAAAGGAAATTTGGTCCTAAGAAATATGTCCCCCATGCGCATAAATTTGTCCCACCTCATTTGAAAGAAGTAATGAAAAACTTTTAACGTAAAAATCACGTGTTTCTTATTCTAAATAGCAAATTCAATACTTGCTAAGCTCCTTTTATTGCGTTTTGCCAATGACGCGGAACACATTTGTCATACCGTATACTGAAGCAGTTTTTGAAATACGAGAAAACGCTGGGATATCTTGCTAAATGTTATATAAGGAAATAATCTGATGAAATGTTTGAGATATTAATTCCTTTTTGCTTTTAAGTTTTCGGTTTGTTTTTCTGAGTCATTAGTTTTACCTGTTCTTTAATAAATGCGTGAATATTTAGATGTTCGGCAACGCATTATTTGATTAAATTTTTAGATCTAAATAAATTGTATCTTGGACCACATGGGGCCTTGGTTTCGAAAAAAATTTCAATAATTTTTCTGAGATACAAGTAGCTATCAAATTTAGTGAGGCTTGAAATAATTTCAAGAATTGAAAGGGACCAAAACTTCAAGGTTAAAAGTTACAACTGTTTCTTAAGCGCCGCTAGTCATTGCTGTTGTAATTTTCAAATTAGGCTAAATTTATAATTATTAGTTGTTTTAATTTTAAATGTTTTGCATAGTTATTAAAACAGTATATTGTAAAATTGCTCTAGAAGATCTATCTGATGATAAGTATTGAATCGTGTCCATTCGCCAAAATATTTAACGCTTGACTGAATCTCGGCTACCCGGGCTTATGTAATCAGCATCTTAAAGGGGACAAATTCGATCCTCAAAAGGCCACATTTTCCTTTGGGAGTATGACTCTCAGGAGTTAGAGACTTTTTATAAAATATTGCTAGGCTGAGAAAAATTTTCTGGGACAGCAAGCTGTGGTGTATTCAGATACAGCTCGAAAAAAACAGCCGTAAATTCAAGTAGTTATGCTAAATACATTCCACGGAACGACAAAGAAAACAGACCCATCATATAATAAGAGGGATAACGCTGCTGTTGAAAGCTTCTTCAAACATTTTTTGTCATCATAATGCATTTTTAAAATTGAGTTCTTTAACATTCGTTGCAATTGTGAAAAATATTCGGTTTCCGTGCTTGGCATTTAACACCTCGTGTAAAAATCTTCTTTCTGTTTGTTGTGAATTTTAAGTCGGTACTCTACCTACTACTCTATACTGAAATAGAGAAAATTCCTTCCTCGTCTTTCATTTTACTTATATTTCACTTTAAAGTTCTATAATTCATGAGCATCAAAATATGGCAGAGGATGTTTTCAATATCAATATTTGCTATCGAGTAGCAGAATTCTCCTGCGTCCGATGAGAGCAGCAAGCTTTATACATAATAAGAATATACATGATACTTGATGTTTTTATTATCTTATATAGTGTCCAAAATTCATGTAAGTCACATATTTCTCTTTAATGGCTTGTTCACCTATGCGCCCTTCCGCCGTCTCTGCTAAACCGTTATCAGAACAAGAACTTTCTCACAGCGGTTGTTCTAATGTCCAAACGGTCTATAAGAAATCCCGTGTTTACTTTGCCCGGCGCAAAATGGTCTTGATGGCTTGCTTTTTGCTTGATGAATGGATGTTAAAGCATTTCTTGCAAACGATTATATTTTTTACTTACGTAAGAGAGTATTTGTAAAAGCTTTCGACGAGTGAGAGGGAAGAAGTATAGTGAATGATGAGAAATGACAAAAGAAATATATCAAAATAGATCAATTTACAATGCTTGTACAGCAAACTTATAAAGTTCATAATGAAAAATCTTGAACAATTAAATGCAACAGAATTTTGGCAATATTGGTTTTAAAACAATCATAAATGTTAAAGCCATTATTGAAAAGCTTATGTTTTCGTTTTCACACGTTTCATTATATTTATGACGTATGGGCGAGAAACCAACGCAGCAAGTATTTCATTGGTTCATGCACTTGACGTTACCATAACACGTGATCTCTGCTAAGCAAAAAAGCAAGGGCGAACCTGTTTATTCACTTTTAATCCTATTGGTTGCAGAGTGAGGACTTTTCAAAGCTTTTGTTTTGCGAAGAATTTTAAGACTAGCAATTTTTAAATAAAAACGATAACATATCCAGACAAGGTTGGTAAAAATGTTTTTTTTGTTCTTTACATAATGGTGTGCGTCGTAATAAACAATGAACTGATGAAATGATGTAGCATTTATGTAATGTTTTGTAGTCATACTCAATATTGCAAAAAAGTAGCTAAAAAAACAAGCACAGGGAAAAAAAACCTAAAAAATGTAAGATTTAAGCCATATAATTGTGACAAGAAGTTGTGTTTGATTGAACAAATCCTAAATAATTTCACTGCTTTTGTCAGTGCAATTTCTCGTTTCTTACCCTAACACGATCTTGACGAGATCATTTTACCATGGTTATTTTACTCGCAAATTTTACATTTAGACATAACGTAGTAATTATAATTAAAACTTGATCTTCTGAATACATAAACTTAGTTTTATGTCTATTGCAAACACCATATCCCTTTCAAAGTCATTTGTGCAAAATAATGTGTACATTAAATGATCTACAGTAAAAACTTTTTAAATATAGTGTATTAATTCTGTTCTTTTATGATCACAAATACTAGTGATTTACGTAAAATTTGTAGCAAACAGCAGTTGAAATGAAAGTAAATCGATTGTAATAATTTCAAGGACTAAAAATTCCCAGAAGAGAATAATTTGTTTTAATTTCTGAGGAACTCATAAACTCCATATTTTATTTATGTCGTCATGACAACAAGCAACGTCAGTTAAGTGCGAGACGTCCACCAGTTGGGAGATATGAATTTTAAATAAGACAACTTGTGTCGTAAATTGGTTTTGTCAGCGTGATAAGCGTTCTACAGAAGTCTTAAAAAATTATTGTAATATTGGCTTTGAAATAATCATAAATGTTAATGTGATTATCGTAAAGCTTAGTTTCATTTTCACTCTTTATTGTTTTTATGATGCATCTGTGAGAAACTATCCTATCGGTTTACAGACTTGTCGTTGTTTTTATGCACGAGCTTCAAAACAGTTACATACAGAATAAAGAGTTAAAATTAGCAAAGATCAAAGATTTAGTTTTAGATGTGTTCGTGTGTTATTTTTTGAGTATGAACAGTTTCGTGATAGCCTTATTTTTTGAGGTTTGGGATTGTTTTAGAAAAAGGAACTTTTTACATCAGTTAATGCGTACGTCTTAAAGATTTCACAAAAGAAGCACAATCTGCGTATTATGTATGTCACGAACTATTGGAAAATTTTGCCTCTATTCTCTAAAACATCTTGAGCATGATAAAATTTCAAATTTATGACAGTGAATGCTACAGCAGATTAAGAAAATTTCAGTTGATTTCTTTTACTTATATAGCAAGCGTCAATTCCGCGAAAATGGCGCGCTTTGATTGGTTCAGAAACATTTTTGCCTCTCCATTGTTTTCCGTAATGGACCACGGTGCAAAACGCGTAATTTTACAGTCAAATGTACGCAAACTTCGTAAAGCAAACAGCAAAACGCAAAAAAAAGTAGAAAGAAAACATTTACGAATGTTTGTCGTAGAAAAAGGACTCGGAAAACAGCTTAACTATACCGACATTACAATTTAAAGCGATTTATTTTTTACCGAAGAAAACTAGATAAGTGAAAGACAACCCGTAAAAAACAGCAAAGACAAGAAAGAAAACAAGCTTCATTTCAAGTCAAATAATGACATATAATAGACCTTTTATTGACTTCGCTTCCTTTGTATTTACTGAGAAATATTGGACCTCTTTTTTTTGTACAAACCTTGCCCTACGAGCTCAGTCTGTACGAAAAAAAAATTTGATTCGTTATCTTTCCGTAAAGAGCTCGACCTCGGTTATTGAGGGTTTGGAATTATTCAGTAAATAATTTAATGTCTTGAATGAGTGGCGTCTTCAAGGAGAAAACTGGGAAGCGAACATTACAGCGGAAATACGTCAATTGGCCTCCATTTTTTAGTCATCAATTCCCAGTCCACTTAACTGTTCTAGTTATTATATAACTCAATGATTTGTATGCTGGCGTATGATGACGATAATAACTCCGATTGCATCAGTCCTCATTATTTGATGATTTGCATTTATTTGTATTGGCAACATAACAAATCTCTTCTCAAATCCTAAGATTTCTAATAGTCAGAGAAAGCGTAGATGATGGGCTCTGACGATTCAAAGACCAGTTTTTATCATCCACTCAAATTTGTCTTCGCTTTTGTGCTTCAGACCAGTCATCATTGAAAACGGAATCGAATAAAGACTTACACCATCTTTGAGTGTGGTTCTCGTTAGTACAATTAGCTGCAACAAAACTATAACCATCTTTTTTAACAAAATATTTCACAGACATTTGTATATAGATGCTATATGATTTGCAGTGTGCAACTGCACAAATACCGTGCGTGACGTCACAAAACAATGCAGATCCCGCTAAAATGCCAAATTAGCCATTTTTAAACTGCCATAAAAAATTGAAGTGTTGCGTAAAATTAAAAATTGTTTTCGCAAAGATTTGATATTGCTAAAAAGCAAAATTTTGTTTGAGTCACTTTGATCACTCGCGTTTAATCAAATAATAGGAAGAATTAGTTTTCTAAAGAAACGAATCATAATTTAGCTAAGAGCTTTAAATTATAGAAGTAAAAGATCGGGCAAGCCTCGCCACTTGATAAAACATGTGAAACTGAGAGATAATTTCAAATTCATGACAGCAATGCAACGGATAGGTATAGTTAAAATTTTTTATCGTTAAATGAATGATCAATTGAATTATTAAATTATTCGTAAACAAAGCTGAAAACAGAAAAATAAATCTAATTAAAATGCAGTGTCTGTAAGTCTTCTCTATCATAGTGACAGTTACTTGTAACTTTTCATTTGAAGGAATAATCAAACATTAATTTTAAACATGAAATGCAAACCTTTTATCAATTTCTAGATGCAACTGAATAATAATTCTTTCCTGATCACTAGCAAGATGTTTAAAAAGGAAAATTTGGCCATGTGGGGAACTGGGCGCAATCAAATAGGCCCTAACATAGAAATTCAGTTTTGGCAACTGAAAGAAGAGCCAAACTATCCTGGATATTTCTACATCTGTAACACAAAATATGATGGATATCGAATTGCTAATTTTGGACCTAGAATTAGTTGTGAAAGTGAACCAGATGATGAAAGTCAGATGTTTAAATTTGAAGAAGTTGGTGGTAAGTATGCAAGGCAAATCAAAATATATGATGAAAACATTACAAAATGTTAAAAAGGAAAGTTATAAATAAGTTCAGATCAGACATATCTATCATTTTAATATTTTCATGTTTCATGCTTGAAGTTTATATTATACCAACATAATAAAAAGGCAACATATTCTTTTTAGATAGTTTCTACCGAATATTCAATTATTAAAAACAAGAAGCAAAACTAACAAAATGGGGAAACGAAAATGATGAATTGGCTTTCTCTGATGGAATTGGTGATGACAACCAATCATGGAAACTGGTACCAAGGTTCAAAGCATATGTTACAACTGTGATGATATGGAGCTACGACAACAGACAAGGATCAGAATCTTTCTCAACAGAAATATCTGTAACAACTGGCCTCAAATTTACATCTTCCTCGACTACTCCAATCACTATTGGTTTGCAGCAATCGTTAATGGCCTCCGTTTGTTCAGCTGCAGTAGATGAAGAATCTAAGGTTGAGATAAATGATGAGATTCAATATTCATTGTTGCAAAGCACAGAAGAAGATTGGAGTCGTACTTCTGCAATAGAATATACAGTACCGGCAGCAAAGAATTTTCTCGTAAAACAGCTGACGTGTGAGTTTTATAGCCTTCTTAGGTCCGATACTTGTGTTTTGACATGCAAATCCATCATCAAAGAAACCAAGGGTACAATGAAGACTACTTGCATGTTGTAAAAATTGTGATAGCTTCATCTATGATAGGAGAAGTAAGTCGTTCGAACGTTGTTAAATTGTAAAGAAACACGAGCTTTCTTATCTTCATTCACAAAACGGCAATGCCTGAAATTGTGCATACTTTATTCGTCTACTCCTTTTTCTTCTTCTTCTCCTTCTTCTTCTTCTTCTTATTCTTCTTCTTCTTCTTCTTCTTCTTCTTCTTCTTCTTATTATTATTATTATTATTATTATTATTATTATTATTATTATTATTATTATTATTATTATTATTTATTATTATTATTATTATTATTATTATTATTATTATTATTATTATTATTATTATTATTATTATTATTATTATTATTATTATTATTATTATTATTATTATTATTATTATTATTATTATTATTATTATTATTATTATTATTATTATTATTATTATTGATATTATTATTATTTTTATTATTATTATTAGGAGACCAAAACATTTACAATGGTGTTAGAACTCGCATTCTTTAAGCTTCAGGGAGGTGAGACCTCCTCTCCAACCAAAAGTCGATGAATTGTTAACTGTATGGTTTTTAGATTTTTTAACTGCCAAGCCTTTTCAAGTATAAGTGCAGTTTGACTAAGAATTTAGCTCTATTCAAAACCAAAAGATCATTTTCGTATGGTTTCCCAAGGTCTTGGTTATGACATGACTTTGGACATCTGGACAACTATGATTTTCCAAGGTCTTGGTTATGACATGACTTTGGACAGCTGGACAACTATGGTTTCCCAAGGTTTTTCATCTTTCACTTTGACAATAACGCTTACAGCACCAGCTATATTCTTCTGTGGAGTGAAGTAATTTCGTAACGTTTTCTCCGCTTTTCTAAATACATCTTCTTCTCTATCTGGCTCGTCAATTTTTAAAGTTTTGAATATCTCATTAACTTCTTCACCAACATAGTGCAGGAGCATCGCCTTTTTTCCTGCGGCGTTTGTGATGTTCATTGCCAACAACAAATTCTCCAATCTTGATACGTATTTTCTCCAAGCTTTTCTAAGGTCTGGTTCTTCTAGGTTGAACGTCGGGAAGCTAGGCAAAGCTGTCATGTTCGAAATGTAGTAACTTTTTCAGGATCAAATCATATTTCTTTGTCGCCAGATGTAATAATGTGAGATTTCCCCATTCTCCCTTTATTGCTTTGTCATATTACTTTTATACAGATCTTTACTTAATTATAATATACGTAATATGACGTACGAAATACTAATAATTTACATAACAATTATACTACAGTTAGGTTATGATATGAATGACCGGTTTTTACACTTGTACCAAGTTTTGAAATCAATCGGATTTCCCTCGATTTCAGTCAAGACTAGAAAACGAAACAAATATTGAGCTATTAGCTCAAACACATATTGAGCATGGAGCACTCCACAAATTTTAAAATCTTCTAAAGCCCTTCATCAAATGATTTAGAACATTATCCCGTAGATTTCTATTTACCTTGATAATGGTGAGGAAAAAAGGCCATCTTGAAAGGTAACAAAAGGTGAAATTTCAATCAAAATTAAGACAAAAGAAACTTGAAAAACATTCCTTTCGAACATTTTACAAAATAAACATAAATTAAAAACTCTGAAAAAGCAGAATATATTCTTACAATGGAACGTTTTGTTACCTTTTAAGAAAGCGGCTTGCCTCTCTCTTAGCTGTAAAATTTTGGCTGAGTCAGATATCTGGAAGACTGGGATTAATTATGTGATTAATTAAAATAAGATATGATTAAAATGAACAAGCAACAAATTTCATTTAAGACAATTCTATCGAATATACAATTTTTCCTACAACGAGGCAAGACTAAGAAAATTGGGGAAAGAAAATGGCAAATGGGGCACTGGAGAAGGGCGTGCTCAAGATGATGAATCATGGAAACTGGTACCTAGGTTCAGAGCAGACGTCAAAATTGTGACGATATAGGGCGAAGACAACAGACAGAGATAACATTCTTTGTCAGGACAAATATCCATAATCACTGGCCTCTAGTTTTCATCTTGCCCCTCCATTTTAATTACTGCTGGTTTGAAACAATCTTTAAAGACTTCCATTTTGCGTGCTGCAGGGATGAAGAAGTAGAAGCCTGGATAAAGGCAGTGATTAAATATTCAATGTTGCGCAGGACTGGAGTCGTACTTTGACAATAACGTTTACAACATCAGCATAGAATAATTATCGTATAAAACAGTTTATGTGTTATTTCTAGAGTCCTCTTATATGTGATGACTGTGTTTTGACATGCAATTGCATCGTTGAAGAAAGCCAAGGAAAATTTAAGTGAATGCTTTTCCTATGAGTCTCCCATGAAATAAAAACTTTTCAAATGACAGTTCCTATGAAATGTCGACTTTTTGAAACGCCCTCTCTCATTTCGCTTTTTACCAACACGCTTTAACTTTTCATAAATGAACAGTTAAGTTCAAACGTATTAAGGTTTTGTCTGCTTGACCGTGTTGCTTTTGTAAACTTTTGATAATTATCTATTGCAACATAAGAACTTTAAGCGGCAAAGACAATTAAAACTTTGTATTGTTGTGAAATATACTAATTGTAACTAAAACTGCTTTAGATTTTTAAAGCATGTTGATATAAAATTAACTACGTCCAAAATGGATCTTTTCCTCACAAACCATACATTGTGCACTAAATTAAACACTTTTCTTCACGATAAAAGATTCTCAATATAGCTACAACTTGTCTTCGTACACTCATGCAAAAATATACATACAACATAGAAAAATGTATTTGTTGTAAACTGTAAGAAAAACTAGAAAAAAAGTAGACTCACTATTTAACTCAATATTTGAGAAAGAAACAAGAAATTTTTTATTTGAAAAATAAAATTTCGAATTTGAATTTTTACTTTTCAAATAAAGAATTTCTTGTTCTTTTCTCAAATATTGAGTTGAAACATGTGTCTTCAATTCAGATTATGCTCCATATTATATTACTTAAAACTGTCGGCTGGTAATGGCTTTTTGGTGAAATCTAACTATAATATTCATAAACACAAAATGGGCTTTGATAAACAATTAAGAATTGTCATTGGTGTATACTTTTATTGCGTTTTGCCGTTGAGGCGGAACACATTTGTCAAACTGTATACTGAAGCAGTTTTTGAAACAAGGCGATATCTTGCTAAATGTTCTGCAAAGAAGTGCTTTGATGAAATGTTTGAGATATTTAATCATTTTTGCTATTAAGTTTTCGGTTTTATTTTCTGAATCATTAGTTTTACATGTCCTTTGTTAGATGCGTGACTATTTACATTTTTGGCAACGCAACATTTGATTAAATTTTTAGATCTAAATAAATTGTATATTAGACCACCTGGGGTCTTGCAGGAGATGACTGATGTTCCCCTCAGAGAGTAATAGCCTGGGAGTATTTGTCTAACTAAAATTTAGTAATGTCTTAGAATGACAACTTTGGTTTGTGCATGTAAGTTTTGACAGAATTGATTTTATTTACATTTACAAACTTGTAACTATACTCCCGGGTTCAAACCATTTACTTTAAAGTAGGTATATAGTATTTAATGTTCCTGTTTTAAAAATAGTTGATAATGATGTTTCAAAATTATTGTTTTCTTATATTTTGAAAGAAAATTTTTATAAGATCTTTAAAAATGACCAAAAATTGAAATAGTGGTCATAGTTAGTGCCTTCTTTATCACGTGTTCTTTTGTTTCGTGACACCCGCGCTAAGTACTAATATTGAAAGGATTCTATTGGTTCATGACTTTGTTTACACGCACGAATTTCGCTTTAAGCCAAAGTTATATTCATTTTAATCTAATCACAGAACAAGAAAGGGCGAATCCAAGCTTCTGATTCACTTTTCTTCATTTTCGTTACAACAAGAAGATTAAAAGACCTCTGAGTTTAGTGAATGCTTTTGGACACCAGCATTTCATCAATATAAAGCCAAAAAATACTTTAGATAAAGGTTGGTGAAATTGTATTTCATTCTTTATCATGTATGTCGTCATAGACTCGTGTAAGCATTTAATGAATAAAGTGAAGTGGCTGCTCACCATATCAATGAAAAACCAACAATATACATGCAAAATACAAAATACTAGGAAAATACTTAATAAACTTGTCACAGGAACTTGAGAAAAGTCTGTAATTATTTCCGCATGTTTCATATTTAATCAGGGAAAATTGTCGTTTCTCTTCCTGGTGCGTTCTTAATGACATTACATCATTATAGCTTTTTTTTCAGTCATATGTAACCTAGTATATGCAGTTGAAAGTTTCGTGTGAAAAATATACTGTGATTTATTTTATATGAAAGTATTGTATGATACTTTGTACGCAATAAGATTCTTGTCATAAAAATTGAGATAATTTTGGTAAGTTTAATCTATACATTACCTAAACAAACATATCTTTCAAATATGAATCTTTTTGCATAAATAATCACGATAAAATTCCATATTTGACAAATTGTACAAAATCCTTTTCCCTGTCTCGTACACTTCGTAAAAGTTTGATAAAAATTTAAGAAACTTTTGTCGTTTCAATACATATCAAGCTATTTTGAATATAATATGTTTTGTGGTATATACATTTTACATAGTTGCATTTTTTTTCATAATCATGTTTAGCATTTATGTTTGTGGTATGTTTTCATTATATGTACGTGTTAACCTCTCTATAAAAGCTTTTTCTATGAATCTCTACGCCATTTTCATTGAAAATACGAAAGCTCGTTTAGAACTCAAATTTCCATTCATAAAATGCGGTAATATATATATATATACACACATTTTTATTGTTGATGTTTTTGATGGGAGAGCACAATAGCTTTAAAGCTAAACCAGCACGAAACTATTTAATTCCCGCAGCGATCGTTTCGTATTTTAAATATTTTTCAGAAATGCACTTTATTATCAATATATCCTAATTCTATGTCACAGTATTTCATACAGTTTATTAATGATTGCACAGTTTTTAGTGTTATAAATTTAAGATATATATTCAAATATCGAGTCATAAACTTGAACTTTGTATCAAGTTAAACGGGCTCTGAATTGAGCTCAACGTTAATTGTCGTTATTTGTGAGGTATTGTTAACATTCAAACATGTATCATTTTCTCAACGTTATTGATAAAACGTAAGCTTTAAATATCATCGACTGAATTCTGATGAAAATGTCGAAGTGAATGTGGTCTTGCAAACCAGAGCATGACGTATTGTACGGCTTAAGGAGGTCAGGTTTGAGATGTTTACAGAGTTTGGCATAATAATGGTAAACATATTTCGTAGAGTGAAATTTCTTACCTATAACTTGATTCATTCACTTTGTTATCTTTTATAAAATGAGCTGCTTTACGTTTAAGTTACCTTCTGTTAGGTGTGATTGAATTCTTGGCTCTTATGTAGCTTTTCTCTCCACTCGTTAACGCATTCATCTTTTCTCCCTTACCTTCTTTTTCAGTCCATTTGCTACGTAGCAATACCCGTTGCCGTCTTTCATATAATTTGTTGAATTTTGTCGGTTGTTAGTTTGCTATATGTCAGGTGTTACTACGGGATGGTAGTGGACATGTGTCAAACATCATTACTTTGTTTGCACGCCTGTAGCCACAGTCCAAAGATAAATTTTTTGAAGCACCAAGGCTTTTTCATAAATTTAGGGACATTTAGTTTTAGTGTAACGACAGAAATTTATATATCAAGGTAAGTTTTAAAGGATTAGCAACGAAAAATCCTCTATGTCATCAAAAATGGATGAACAACATTGTTTCGTGTGGAAAAAATTAATGAAATCTGTTTTGTTAGTCCAATGATGTGAAGCGTCAACGCGTAGATAAATAAAGGTCCTTAAAATGCGATCAATTGCAATTTACAAGTTTAGAGAATCACGATAGTTTTTTGGGGATACGTGTTCGCAAAAATCTCAAACAACATCCCAGTCTTCACTTCCACGATAGTATTTACAGCACGAGGAAATAAGAAAATTTGACGTGTTATTTCTCTAGTTATCTTGTTTTGTTGTTTTGCACCCTTTGATGTAAAATTTAAAGGAAAAGAGAAAATCAATATCTCAAACAGAAACATTTGCAGTAACGCTTTTTTACCACATGGTTATTTTACTGACTAGTCAACAACAAAAAAAACAGTCCTTCTCAGGACTATACCAACCTGGTCGATCTACATTTACAACCATGGTTATTTTACTGTCAACAACTGCAATAATACCTGAGTTATGTTTAGCCATGTGGATTGTCCTTTCTCCAGTTCCCATCGATGGTGAAAAAATGAAAAGATATTGCCATTGAATTCTAGGATAATTGGAATTTTCCCTTTGCGCTGTTTAATTGGTCATTTAAGGCTATTGTAAGGCTATTAAACTATAGCAATGTAAAAAATACAGCAAAGTGCAAAAGAAAAACGCCAAAGGGGAGGGAAACTATTTATATAATATTAGCGAGAGACTTGCCGAGCGGAAATCGAATTCGTGTGATAAAAATTAATGCCCAACATAAAGTTTTGATTAGAGCCATAGAAATAGACCAAAAAAAGACAAATTGTAAAATTAAATTTATTGTAACGTTTCGTCTTTACTCAAGACATCTTCAGACAAATAATAAATAGAATGTTAAGACAAGATATTATATTTACAAAAAGGTGTTAAATTACTACTAAAGGAAGCGGTGTCGAATGGATATATGATAAGGAATTTAGGAAGTAAAATAAAGAGAAATTAAAAGAGGTTAAGTGGAATGGAGTTTCCTTGCACATTAAGTGAAGGCTTTTATTTATTGATTAGAATGCTTTCATGAATGGAGAGTTCAAAAGTATCGTTGGAAGAGGAGATTATTTTAAAGTCGTCTAAGTTGGGGGTGTGGTCCAGTTGCGTTATTGTGAGCAAGAATGCTTGATGATGCAGGGTGGGAAACTTGGTTGCATGTAAGAGGGGATATTCTCAAGTGCTCCGAAAATCTGGTGTGTAGATGACGTGTGGTTTGACCCACATACGAGGCGTTGCAGCTTCGACACTTGAATAAATAGACTACACCAGATCTCAGAGGTTTGGAATTTTGTCCTTAAAGGAAGAAAGAAGAGATACGTTGAGAAGGGCGGAAAACAAATTTAATGAATATATGTGGGAGGCTGCAGCACAAGGCTATTGATTTGTGTGCGAATTTGAAGAGGTGTATGCCGGTGAAAAGAAGAAATAGATGAACTTTTGTGACAGTCAAGAACAGGTATTTAGGGGCAAAGGTTTGTTAAAACAGACCCATTCTTTCCTCCATTAATCACTATTCGTATAAACTAGCAAAGTTTTTGGTTCCCTGACCTTCACTAAAGCAACCTCATCATCAAAGACTCTTTCTCGTTTGTTGAAGAAATCCTAAATTGCGATGTCAACTCCAGTAACGTTGTCCTTGCTAGTTTTGATGTCGTATCCCTATTTACTAACATACCTGTTGACAAAACCATCCACATAATATCCAAAAGCATTTTTAACAACCACCAGTAATTCAACGGACTCACTGCAAAAGAATTTGAAAAACTACTCTCTCTAGCTGTTAAGAACTGTCACTTTATCTTTAACGGGAAAATGTACCAGCAAATTGATGGTGTGGCTATGTGCAGTCCATTGGGTTCTCTCTTTGCTGATATATTCATGTCTTTTCACAAAAAATCCTGGCTTAATAAATGTCCTTCTTCATTCAAACCACTACTTTACCGACGCTACGTTGACGACTGTTTTTTACTTTTTCATTCCTTCCATCACGTCCCTCTCTTTCTTGACTACCTGAACCGACAACACCCTAACATCACATTCACAGCTGAAGTCGAACAAAACAGAAAGCTCTCATTTCTGGACATTGATATCTCTCGTACTAATGGAAAATTCACCACTTCCGTCTACCGCAAACCTACTTTCACTGGCTTCTTCACCAACTTCCACAGCTTCATCCCACTTACTTACAAACTTTCATTAGTCTCCTGCTTACTTCACCGCATCTTCAATATTTGCTCTACTTACGAAAATTTTCATACACAACTAGAATTTACCAGAAAGTCACTCACCAAAAACGGTTTTCCTTCACGTGTAATTGACCAAATCACACGTCGCTTCCTTAACAACACCTTTGCCCCTAAACCACCTGTCTTGACTGCTCACAAAATGCCCATCTATTTCTGTCTTCCTTTCACCGGCATACACTCCCTTCAAATTCGCACACAAATCAATAGCCTTTGTGCTGCAGCCTTCCCACATATATTCATTAAATTTGTTTTCCGCCCTTCTCAACGTATCTCTTCTTTCTTCCCCTTTAAGGACAAAATTCCCAAACCTCTGAGATCTGGTGTAGTCTATTTATTCAAGTGTCGAAGCTGCAACGCCTCGTATGTGGGTCAAACCACACGTCATCTACACACCAGATTTTCGGAGCACTTGAGAATATCCCCTCTTACATGCAACCAAGTTTCCCACCCTGCATCATCAAGCATTCTTGCTCACAATAACGCAACTGGACACACCCCCAACTTAGACGACTTTAAAATAATCTCCTCTTCCAACGATACTTTTGATCTCTTCATTCATGAAAGCCTTCTAATCAATAAATAAAAGCCTTCACTTAATGTGCAAGGAAACTCCATTCCACTTAACCTCTTCTAATTTCTCTTTATTTTACTTCCTAAATTCCTTATCATATATCCATTCGACACCGCTTCCTTTAGTAGTAATTTAACACCTTTTTGTAAACATAATATCTTGTCTTAACATCCTATTTATTATTTGTCTGAAGATGTCTTGAGTAAAGACGAAACGTTACAATAAATTTAATTTTACAATTTGTCTTTTTTTGGTCTATTTTTATGGCTCTAATCAGAACTTTATGTTGGGCATTAATTTTTATTTATATAATAATCTCTGCCTCACTGATTTTTTTGTAAGCACAAATGAACAATTAACACAAAATATTGTAACTGCACATATGAATAACATACATGCAGTGTTTCAACTTTTGGCTCACAGACTTTCCCTTATTGTTCTTTTTTCCTGATTTTCAATAAAACTCCGTTTTCTTTTTTAAAAGCTCTAAATTTGACGTACTTTTCTCGGTGCCACATTAATTTTCACGCCTTTAATCACACACTAACGATATTGACAAAGTGCAGGTGCACATCTAGTACATTAGTGGACTGGGCATGCCTTTTTAGTAAAACCTGATTTTCAATGTAATTCTAGTGAAAAGACATTACAGGTAAACTTTCATTAAAAGAGCAACACAGCCGTGAGCATTTTATTCTATTTCGATTTTGTTCGTATTTCAAAATTATCTTCATTTTTCTTCTATTTTCGATCTCGTCTTTTCCTCTTGTGATTTTCAAAATTTCTTTACAAAGTTAAATATCCCACTAGTGGAAATGGTGCAAAGTGTTGTGTCTATACCTTAATATGAATATGATTGGTTTGAACTTTAAAAAAAAGCTAAAGCAATTTATTTCAATGGAACATTCATAAAAACACAGCTAATTTTAGTTTTGTTTTTGACAGAGACGCCACATATTTTTACACAAGCTCTACGAGTACGAATCATCAAAGCACAATGTCTCTAAATAGCTTACTGCTCTCGATATTCAAATCATTTTCTGACATATTTCGAGATGAGACAGCAGACAGGCTAGAAAACGGCGACGTTGGTAATGAAACATTTCGCGATAGTTTCAAGCGAGATTTACAAAACATCAAAGCAAAGCTCGATAATCCTTCGAAAATAGATATTTGCTCCAGTTTAGACCACTTGGAGGAAGGACTTGTTCTTTTTTTTAAGTGTTTTAACGAAGTAGAAAGAAATGGAGAATGTGAAGAAACAAGCAATTTTGAATCTCAAGCTACTTGTACTGCCACCACTAGCAGCTTTGAACTTTCCAGTGCAGTAAAACATCCAAGTGTTTTTAAATTGGCAAAGGATCTATTTAAAAAATCGCGTGAAGAAGCAACAAGAGTTTTCAACAACAAAAATTTAAGCTTGAAAGACAGAATATTTGCTGTTAATGTGAAGGTCATTGCGCAAATTTTTGAATGTCCTGAGCACCCAAAGAATGCCATTGATTTGTGTTTATCTTATATAAAAAGGCTGCATCAATTGGACAGTGTTCAAGAAATGTTTGTTGTTTCTATCGGCGGTGGCTCGAGAGCAATGTTCAATAGATCCGAAACAATGAAAAATATGAAGTCTGTCATTCATCTTAACCATCAGTTGTATCAGTTCACTGTGAGAATCAAAAACAATCATGATTTGGTAACATGGCCATGTATTGAGCTCGGAGAAGGAAAGGTGTTTAATCCAATACGAGATTGGCGAAAGATCTTAACCTCTGAAGAATCTTCAAAAGAAATGGAAAGAATGAAAGCCGCAATGTTTCAAACGTTGGAAAAGATGAATATAAATGAAGAACCTGTTGAACTGTTGCCGTCGGCAATCAAAGAAATGGTGAGCACAGTAAGAAGTGATATTTTGATTGCTGGAGGTTTTTCATATAGTTCCATAAAGAGGATTGAAATATTCTCATGGAAGTTCGAGGAATGGTTTGAGATGGCACCAATGAAAAAGGAACACAGGTGTTCTTCATCATTTATTTATAATGATGATTTATTTGTTGTTGGAGGAGTTGACTGCAACTCAATATATATATTGAATTTTAGTCAGTCAACTTTGACATGGAAGAAATTTCCTGGAGAGCTTCCTTATGAATGTTGTGGTCATAAAACTGTTGTTTGTAAACAACAAATCCTTCTCATTGGGGGAGTTCATAATAAAACTAGATCCGACATTATCAGTGAATTAAAGATTACTGGTACCACATCTCATGTTTTGAAAGAGTTGTGTCATATGCCTGAAGCACGATCTAACCATGCAGCTGAAGTTATTGATGATAAAGTTGTTATTTTTGGAGGAAGAGAAAAAGATAACAAAGCATTATCAAGAGTTTTGGAGTTTGATCCAGCAACTCGTACATTTAAAGAAATGCCTCCATTACCTCATCCATTGACCGAAATGGCAACAGTTCGATGGAGAGATCAAGTTGTTCTTCTTGGAGGTTATGACGGAAAAGAAATATTGAACAGTGTTATCATGTATGACAGAAAGACTGGTAACATTACAGTCTTACCGTCCATGTTGGAAAGGAGATCGAGTTGTTGTGCAGTTATAACAGGTGACACAATTGTTGTCATAGGAGGTCAGAATGATAAAGATACACATCTTAATTCAGTGGAGTGTTTTAAAATGGGAAGAAGTTCTTCATGGACATATCTTCCTCCATTGAATGAGCCACGATATGCTGCTATTGCAGAAGTTTTACCTGTTTGATAAAAAAGCATTAGTTGATGCTTCATAGACGAGTGTCTGAAAGTAAACAGTGTAACATACTTTTTTGCTAATCTCATACTTGTCTCTCTAATGGTAGTGAGAAATTTTTTAAATTTGCATATTTTATGATTTGATAACTCTTGATGACGTCATCGTAAATATAACGTAAATTTCTACTTATTGTGCACACTTATCGCTTAGGCCATATCGATAACCTGCTTTTGCGTTGCTCTCTATGACATGAAAGAAATTATGTTGTGAGCGGCGAAAATCATTTTTTGAGCACGATTTTTTTGTCTGGTCCAGTGGCGGATCCAGACTACGTCAAAATAAATTACTGCAGCTTATTTTACCATATATTTATATTTCTAAGCACCTTAGAGGAAAATCCATAGAAAAAAATTATATTCTTTAGAAATTAAAAACCAAAAACTTTTTTCTGAATGTAATTTGAATTTAAAATTGGGAAGCCATAAATTATTTTGATGTACACTGGATCCGCCACTGGTCTGGTCTACGCCCTAACTTCACCCCACTCGTAAATTGAAGGAAAACTTCATAAATACATTGTAACTTCATTTTATATGCTGGTATTTTGTGTTGTACTCTTTTTACTTGGCCAGATTTCTTTCCATAAAAATTGAGGTATGTTTGTATTCTTACTTGTCATTTCCAAACATACACATATTTCTATAATCTTCAATACATACTTAAGGCAGACTTGCTATCTGACTTAATACACAAGATGCTTTGTAGAATCTCGAATAAAAATTAATGTACTTTCATCTTTTCAATATATATCAAGATATTTTTAATGCAGCTAAAATATTTTGTTTTAAATGCATTGTATATAATTGAATTTTTTCAAAACAAGTTTGCCATCGATATTCGAGGTATTTTTTCATTATATACATTTATGTTTAAACTGCTCTGAGACAACACTTTGTCTATTTGAATTTTGTCCCTATCTTTATTCAATGATTTATACTCTTTTACTTCATTTTTCACTGTTTAACAGGAGAACCATCACTATATAGAACTAAAACCAGTCGCGGACTTAGTGCTAGTCAAAAAAAATTACTGCTGCACTTTTTGGAATATATTTACATTTCTAAGCCCCTCAGAGACAAGTCCACTGGTCAAATTATATTCTTCAGAACTTCCAACCAATAGTGCTATTCTGAAAGTACTTTGAATTTAAAATCAAGAGCTTTAATTTATTTTCCTCGCTTCTGCTTGCTGTGAGTACCCCTAGATCCGTTACTGACTAAAACAGCACAAAATTATTTACTAAGAGTTGTCCTTTAAATATTAAATATTTTGTCAGCTATTTTAAAAGTATGGTCAATATGTCGTTTTTTTTTGTCATTGTATGTCATTCTAATAAAATCTTTAAATGACAACAATTTGTCTGACGCCATGTTTTCAATTCCTCGTGTTTCTTTTGCTTCGTGACTCCCGCGCGCGAAGTATTATAACATGGATTTTATTGGTTCATGGACTTGGTGTTGTTCATACGCGTGAATGTCTCTTTAAACCGTTGTAATAATCAATGCTGTAAACAGAACAAGAAAGGGACGAATCCAGGCTTCATATTCTTTTTTTCGTAATTTCCGTTAAAACGAGAAGATTGTACAAAACCAGTGCTTGGTGAAGGACTTCACACACCAGCAGTCCATAACTATAAAGACAAAAGATAATAAAATGTGAGTGAAATCGTTTCTCATTGATCTTTTAATTCTTTAGTCGTCATTTAATCAATAAAGTAAATTACCTGTTTTCTTTATGGGTGAAAAACAAACATTATACAGACGAAATGCAATTTACCAAGAAAGTAACCATACAAATTTGTGATAGGAACTTGTATTTAAGTGAGCAAATCCTTATTACTTAACGCCTTTGGTCAGAGCGTACTGTTGCTTCTCTTCCTGATTTGTTCTTGATTATATTTGGTCATCATGAATTTATTTTATCAACACTTTTATTCAAGACGTAGCTAACGGAATAAAAGCTATGAATAAATACATGAAAAGAAAAGAGTTGAAAGTTTGGTGTCAAAAATATATAGTTATTTATGTTATATGCAAGTATTATACAATAGTTTGTACACAATAAGATTCCTTTCATTGGTATTTCAATTATTATAACCCAAACAAACATACATTCTTATAATGAAAATTTTTGCATAAATATTCATGCATGATAAACTTTTGTATCTGACCATAAGATTCTTTGCACATTGTTGATAAAAGTGAATAAGTCCTTTATCGCTTCAATACATATCAAGTTATTTTCAATATAAATCGTTTGTGCAGTGTAAAATGTACCCAATTGCTATTTTCCTAGTCATGCTTAGCATATATATTTTTGGTATGTTTTCATTATACGTGTGATTAAACCTCTCTATGACAACCTTTATATATTATTTTTTACGCCATTTTCATTGAAAATAAGAAGCTCGTTTAGAACTCGGTAATCCATGAAGGAAACGCAATAATATATATATATATATATCCACACTTTTATTATGGTTTATGTTTTTAATAGGAGAGCACAATATAGCTAAAAAAGGACGAAACTATTTACTCCCTGCAGTGGTTGTTTGAATTTGAAGATAGCCCTATCATTCCTTACCTAAGCAAACATATCTTTCTATAATTAATATTTTTGCATAAATAATCATTGTGAACTTTGATATAAGACAAGCAGTACAAAATCGTTTCTACTGTTTCGTACACTTTGCGAAATGTTAAGGAAAACTTATAAATCTTTTGTCGTTTCAATACATATCAAGCTTTTTTGAATATGATATACTTTGTGGTATATATATAGCACACAGATCATTTTTTCAAAGTCATGTTTAGCATAGATATTTTTTGTATGTTTTCATTATACGTATGATTAAACCTCTCTATGACAACCTTTATATTTGATTTTTTACGCTATTTTTATTGAAAATATGAAGCACGTTTAGAGCTCGGTAATCCATGAAGGAAACGCAAAAATATTTATATATATATCCACATTTTTATTATGGCTTATGTTTTTAATAGGAGAGCACAATATAGCTAAACCAGGACGAAACTATATTTACTCCCTGCAGCGGTCGTTTGAATTTTAAATATTTCTTTAGAAATTCACTTCATTATATCAATATGTCGTAATTCAGTTCCTATGCCACGTATAGTATTATACAAGATACAAGTGATTGCATAGTTTTAGTATTATAGATTTGATCAGTTATACTAAATGCTGAGCTAAAAGTATGATTTAGCAAAGATTTGAAATATGCCAAAAAACGAGTTTGAACGTTATCGTTTTTCTGCGAATTTTCAAGACTTTCATCAAAGTTTTCCCCCCTTATCGATAAAACGTAAGAACTAATTATCATGAATTGAATTCTGATGAAAAGGTTTGAGTGAAATTAATCTTAAAAATCAAAGTACGAAATAAAGTACGACTTAAAGGAGGTCAGGTTTGAGATGTTTTACAGAGCCTGGCTATTCAAATGTAAACCATATTCATAGAGTGAAGTTTTCCTGCTATATCTTTAACAGAGAGACTTGCATTAACGATGTTTTGGCGACTTGGCCATTTTACTGTCAACATATATAATAAAAACTGACGCTACGTTCACACTACTCCGGATTCGCTCATCACGACATCTTCATTTGCTTTAAAGGGGTAAATGTTCGGAGTAAAAGCTTATTAAGGTGATAGATTTAGTCTAATTGATTGTGTTTCTGACGTTGAACAATTTCACTGCCATTTAATACAAAGAATATTCAACCTGCTACGATAGCAATCCGTTATAGTGTAAACGAGGCCTGAGATGCCATGTGTATTGCGGTAATTGCATTTCTTTAATATATGCGTTCAATGCCCATCGAAGGTAAAAGAATGGGAAGGTATTGCCTTTAGTCACGAGCCGCTTCTAAGATCTCATGAAAATATTTTTTCATTTTATATCTCCAGCCGGTGAAATTGAATAATAATTATATAAAAAAATAAAATTATATTGCTGGTAAAGTATCAATAAATCAAGAATATAGCAGTGATCATTAAATTTTATCTGGATCCTGTTCATGTTTTGAAATTGCCTTTACTTTTCTTTTATTTTCCATTTCTTCTCTATGCAAAATTTTCTCACACAGGTAAATATTCCACCAAATGAATTTGTTGCAAATTGTTGTGTGTGTAAACGTATAGTAACATGAATGGTTCAAATTGAAACAAAATTGAGAGCTTATATTATGTGAACTGAGTATTTCACAAACAAACATATTAGTAAATATAGATATGTTTTTCTTTTGACAGAGGCGTAACAGATTCATACACAGGTTCTACAAGTGCTAGATATCAAAACATCATGCCTCTTGACGGCTTACTGCTCTCTATGTTTGAATTATTTACGAGCAATGCTACAAATGAGGCATCAAACAAACTCAAAAACGGTGATGTTGCTAATGAAGCATTTAGCGAAATTATCAAGCGAGATCTACACTACATCAAAACAAAGCTCCATAATCTTTCGAAAATAGATCTTTGCTCCAGTTTTGACAATATGGAGGAAGGATTCCTGCAACTTTTTGAATGCTTTTACGAAGTGCAAAGAAATGAGGAATGCAAAGAAGCAAGTAATAATGATGATTCTCAGTCAACTTGCATTGCCACCAGGTATGAACTTTCCAGTGAAATACAACGTTCAAAGGTTTTTGAATTGGCAAGGGATCGTTTTAAAGAATCCAATAAAAAAGTAACGGAAGCTTTCAACATCAAAAAATCAACCTTGGAGGACAGAATATTTGCCATTATTGTGAAGATCGTGGCACAAATTTTTGAATGTCCTGAGCACCCAACGAATATCATTAATTTGTGTTTAACTTACATAGAAAGGCTGCATCAACTTGATGGTGTTCGGGAAATGTTTTCTGTTTTTATTGGTGGTGGCTTCAAATCAAGGCTCAAAAAATCCCAGAGAAAGGAAAACATGAAGTCTGTCATTCTTCTCAACCATCACTTATATCAGTTTATTGCGAGGATCAACAACAATCATGATCATTTATCAACTTGGCCAATTATTGAACTTAGAGACGGAAAGGTGTTTAATTCAATGTGTGACTGGGGAAAGATCTTCACTCTCGAGGATTGGGGTAAAGAGTTGATTGAATCTTCAAGAGAAATGGGCAAAATGAAAGCCATAATGTTTCAAATAATGAAAAAGATGATTGAAAATCTACATGTTCAAGTATTGACATCACCAAATGAAGGAATGTTGAATCCAGTAAGAGGTGATATTTTAATTGCTGACGGCTTAAAAGGTGAATCTTCAAAAAGTTTTGAAATATTTTCATGGAAGGAGGAGAAATGGTTTGACATTGCATCAATGAAAAATAAACACAACAATGCTTCATCATTTATCTATAACGATAATTTGTTTGTTGTTGGAGGATTTCTTTGTAAGTCAATAGAGACATTAAATCTTAATCAATTACCTTTAACATGGAAGACATTTCCTCAAGAGCTTCCTTGTGAATATTTTAGTCATCAAACTGTTGTTTATAAACAGCAAATTCTTCACATTGGAGGATATGGTGCTGACAAAGGTGCCTCTGCTCTGATCAGTGAAATACAGATTACTGATAGCACATCTGATGTTTTAAAACAGCTATGTCAAATGCCTGAACCACGAAAAGACCATGGAGCTGAGATTGTTGATGATAAAGTTCTTATTTTCGGGGGAAGGAGAAAATTTGCGGAAGATGCTGTTTCTAGTGTTTTGGAATTTGATCCAAGGACTCTTACATTTAAGGAAATGCCTCCATTACCTCATCCCTTATATGGAATGGCAACAGTTCGATGGAGAGATCAAGTTGTTCTTCTTGGAGGTCGTAATGATGGAAGAGAAATTTTGAGTAGTGTTATCATGTATGACAGTAAGACAGGAAAGATTACAGTCTTGCCATCCATGTTGGAAAGGAGATTAAGGTGTTGTGCTGTTATAACAGGCGATACAATTGCTGTCATGGGAGGTATGATTGAGAAAATTGAACGTCTTAAATCAGTGGAGTGTTTCGAAATGGGAAGCAGTTCTTCATGGACATATCTTCCTTCAATGAATGAACCACGAGCAGAAGCCATTGCTGAATTCTTACCATCTGGACAAAAGTATGTATAGGACATGCATTTTACTAAAAGTTTGAACGTTATAACTCATCAATGTTCATTTGGGTTACATTGGATGATAAATCTGTAAAGTAAAAATGTAAACGTTTAAAAGTTTACATAATCATTAACTACCTTCATGAATTACTAGAAAAGGTTATTGACTTTTGTATTTAAGTTTTATTGAGTTTGTAGAGACTAGTTTCTATCTTTCATCTTGTCCTTGTTTGATTGCAGTATGTCAGTCTATCCACTGACCAATAAAATGTGAGGGGGTAAAGTTTGCATTTTTTCATCGGAAAAAATTAGTTTTCTGACAATGTTTTTAATAGTGGCTAAATACTCCATTTCGCTGTTTACCATCGACCACATTTACAAAGAAATACTCAATTTACGTTAAAAACTTTGAAATGTTGTAAAGACAACAAGCTGCTTCCAATAGCTACACATGCGCAAACACAATCACTTAAGCACAACTTACTGAATGGGTATAATGAAAACGATACTAGTTTAGTTTCTGCATTATTGGGATATAATGCTCTATCTTTAAACTCATTTCGTAAAAGAAAGAACCTTTTTACGGCTTAAACCAATTGATAAGACTGATCATAGACCACATAATACTTCTGTAAAGTCTTTCTAACGTAAACTTCACACTGCAAAAAGCAACAAATCCCCTATAATCTGATAGTGATAGGATAAGTATAGTGTTTTATGAAAAATATCCAAGGCCCGTTTCAAACGTCGAACTTTACATGTGCCAAAGTTATTTAAAACAAATGATGAGGAATTTCATCTCATTATCTTTTGTTTTTAATCCATTCGGCACATGAAATCTTCGACGTTTGAAACGGGCCTAAATCTTTAAAAATACAAACGAACTTTTAATAAAGTCACTGGCATTGATCATTAATTTGAAGGACCCGGATTTGGGAATCAAATTCAGGTCCCGTATGTTCCACTCAGTAAACATAAAGCAAACAAATATGATTTTGTCGTCTGCTTTAGAGTTTCCGATTCTTTTTTAATATATAGTTTTTGAGCGTCACTTATGACACGTATAATGAAACACCATTTCTTACATAACACAATGCCAGATGTGAGGTTGCATCGCCGTAAATTTCGTTGTGCTATATGACAAACATTATAGTATGCAAATGTAACTAAACATTGTTCTCTAGTAGCCCAAAGTGAAAGCCTAATAGGCCTCTTGTTCCAATACAATCATGAATATTAAAATACTTTGTGTGACCCCATGTTTCCAACTCCGTGTGTTTTGCTTACATACTTCGCTTCGCGACTCCCGCGCGAGGAAGTAATTTAGCAAGGATTTTATTGGTTCATGGACTTGGTGTTGTTCACGAGCGTGAATTTCGCTTCAAAGCGTTGTAATAGTCAATGCTGTAAAGAGAACAAGAAAGGGCGATTCCAGGTGTCATAATTTTTTTCATCAATTCCCTTGAAACAAGAAGATTGTAAAAACCAGTGGTTAGTGAAGGACTTCTGACACCAACAGTTCATAAATATAAAGACATAAAGATATTTGAGAAAGGCGAGTGAAGTAATTTCTCATTTTTTGATTTTTGTGTCGTCATATCAACATTTAATCAATAAAATAGAATCGCTGCTGTTATTATAGGTAAAAAATCGATATTCTGCAGACATAATGCAAAATACCAAGTAAATAGTGAACTAGGAAATGTAGTAGGAACTTGTTCTTAGTTGAGTAAAGCCTAATTACATAACGCATTTGGTCAGGAAAGATTGTTCTTTCTCTTCTTGATTTGTTCTTGATGACATTTTTGTTTATTTTATATACGAGTGTTATATGTTACTTTGTGCACAATAAGAATCATGTCACAAAAATTAAGATGTTCGGGTTTTTTCTGTATGTTCAATCTACTTTACGTAAACAAACATATCTTTCTACAATGAATACTTATGTATAAATAATCACGGTTAACATTCATGTCAGACAACCGGACTACAAGATTCTTTGCAAACTAAAATGTTCATAAAAATTAATGAAACGTTTTATCTTTTCAATACATATCAAGTTATTTTCAATATGAAATCGTTTGTAGTGTATAAAATATACTCAGCTGTAAGTGTCCTAGTAATGTTTAGCATAGATATTTATGGTATGTTTTCATTATACGTTTGAGTAAACCTCTCTATGGCAACCTTTTCTGTGATTCTTTACGCTAATTCATTAAAAACGCTAAAGTCGTTTACAACTCAATTTTCCATCAATGCAATGCGGTAATATATATCCACATTTTACAATTTAAAAATTTATTGTTGATTTGGAGAGAGCGACAGAGCTAAATCGACCCAACATTATTTACTCCCTGCAGCGGTCGTTTGAATTTTAAATATTTCTTTAGAAATTCACATTACTATATCAATATGTCGTAATTCCTATGTTGCAGTATTATACAATATATAAGTGATTGCATAGTTTTAGTGTTATTCATTTGTTATGTACTAAATACTGCAATATTGGGTCACTTCAGCAGAATCAGCTACAAAAATAGTTAGCGTTTCCACTTTTGATATACAGAATTTGTCTTAGTGTCCTTATTTCCCCAATTTTCAACTAACTTCCTTTCTCTTTTTCAAAAGCTCTAAATTTGGCATGTTTCAATTGCAGTGACTTTTTTCCTTCATTACCAGATAATAAAAACTTGGACATAGTGTCCTTGGGCCTTCTAAGACTGAAAACAATTTTCTTGTACGAAGCTCACAGCCGGTAAATAAAATATACATAAACTCATAAATAAAAGTTTATAGTATATCTGCTTTATATTATGAGCAAACTGTAATGAAAATAGCAACGTAACGGTGAGAGTTAAATTTTATTTAGATGTTCTTTGTATTTTAAGATTAACTTTCCTTTCACTTTCGATTTCTTCTTTTTCCCTCATAATTTACATAATTTCTTCACAAGGGTAAACATCCCACTCAGAGAAAATGCTGCAAATCGTTGTGTGTAAACCAACCTTAATATTTTTCGTTCAAATAGTTGAATGAAAGTATATTATATAAATAAAGTATTCATACAACACAACAGCTAATTTTAGTTATGTTTTTGCTTTTGACAGAAAGGCAACAGATATATACACATGCTCTACAAGTACAAACTATCAAAACACAATGCCTCTTGATAGCTTACTGCTCTATGTATTCGAATTGTTTACGAAAAAATCTCGAGATACAACAGCAGACAGACTTGAAAACAACAACGCTGCTAATGAAACTTTTCCCGAAATTTTCAAGCGATATTCACGGCACATCAAAACTAAGCTCCACAATCTTTCGAAAATAGACCTTTGCTCTAGTTTGGACTACATGGAGGAAGGATTTCTTCAGCTTTCTGAATGCATTAACGAAGTAGAAAGAAATAGAAAATATAAACAAGGAAGTAACAATGAAAACTCTCTGGCAACTTGTACTGCCATCACCAACAGGTATGAACTTTCCATTGCAATACAACGTTCAAATGTTTTTGAATCGGCAAAAAAGCGATTTGAAAAATCCCGTGCAAAAGCAACGAGAGCTTTCAACAACAGAGACTTAAGCTTGGAGTACAGAATATTTGCCGTTTATGTGAAAGTCATAGCGCAAATTTTTGAATGTCCTGAGAGCCCAACGAATGCCATTAATTTGTGTTTATCTTATATAACAAAGCTGCATGAGCTGGATGGTGTTCGTGAAATGTTCTCAGTGTCTATCTCTGGTGGATTGAGGGCGATGCTCGATAAATCCCAAAGAATGGAAAACATGAAGTCTGTCATTCTTCTCAACCATCATTTATATCAGTTCATTGCAAGGATCAACAACAATCATGATCATTTATCAACTTGGCCAAGTATTGAACTTGGAGACGGAAAAACGTTTAATCCAATGTGTGACTGGTATAAAGTCTTCACTCCCGAGTCTTGGGGTGAAGTGTCGATTCATTCTTCCAAAGAAATGGAAAAAATGAAAGCCACGATGTTTCAAATACTGGAGGAAATGACTAAAAATGAACATGTCAAAACATTGCCATCATCAGTCGAAGGAACGAAGAACTCAGGAAAAGAAGATATTTTGATTGCTGGAGGATACTTACAAGCTACCTTAAAAAGTGTTGAGATATTTTCATGGAAGGAAGAGAAATGGTTTAATATTGCATCAATGAAAAATGAACACTGGTTGGCTTCGTCATTTATTTATAATGATAATCTATTTGTTGTTGGAGGTAGTGGTAGCAAGTCAACAGAGACATTGAATCTCAAACAGTTACCTTTGACATGGAAGACATCTCCTGGAGAGCTTCCTTATGATTGCTATGCTCATCAAACTGTTGTTTATAAACAACAAATTCTTTACATCGGTGGTTTTAATGAAGACAAAAGAACAGCATCTGATCTGATCAGTAAATTACAGATTACTGGTGCCACATCTTGTGTTTTAAAAGAGTTGTGTTATTTGCCTGAACCAAGAGAGTACCATGGAGCTGAGGTGGTTGATGATAAAATTTTTATTTTTGGAGGAATGGGGAGAGATAACAACATTTTGTCAAGTGTTTTGGAGTTTTCCTCACCTCTTAAATGCAATAAAAGGCCTCCATTACCTTATTCATTGTTTGGAATGGCAACAGTTAGATGGAAAGATCAAGTTGTTCTTCTTGGAGGTTATAATGGAAGAGAAGTATTGAACAGTGTTGTCATGTATGACAGTAAGACAGGTCAGACCACACTCTTACCATCCATGTTGGAAAATAGAACTAGGTGTTGTGCAGTTATAACAGATGATACAATTGTCGTAATGGGAGGTTTGAATGATAAAGTTGAAGGTCTTAAATCAGTGGAATGTTTTAAAATAGGAAGCAGTTCTTCATGGACATACCTTCCTTCAATGAGTCAACCAAGATTTGGAGCCATTGCTGAAATTTTACCCTTTGGACAAAAATACATTTAAACTTGGTAGCTAAAATTACTTAATGAACGAACGTTATGTAAAACTCATCAATATTCCTTTGGATCATAAATTTTTAAGGTTAAAAACGTAAACCGCCTAAGGTAATCATTATGTATTTTTATAAATTACTAGAATAGGTGGATGACTAATATTTGAATTATGTTCAGTTTGTAAAGGATAGTTTATGTAATATCATACAAACTTAGACCACCCAATTTTTCTTCGGCAAATTATGTCCTCACCCCACGCCCCTCAATCTTGAGATCATCTTGGCACTATAACTATTACCTCGTGTAAGTCTTGACTGTTAAATCT